CGTGATGGTCAAGTGGATTAAGGCGTCTTGTACATACCAGTTGCGTTGCTTCTGGGAGTATGGGTTCGAGTCACTTCTGGGGTGTGAGTTTTCAGTTGCATATTGTCCTGGGGACCATTCAGGCTTGTTCGCATATATATATATATATATATATATATATATATATATATATATATATATATATATATATATATATATATATATGCAAACAAGCCTGAATAGTCCCCAGGACTATATACAACTGAAAACTCACACCCCAGAAGTGACTCGAACCCATACTGCCAGGAGCAACGCAACTGGTATGTACAGGAACGCCTTAATCCGCTTGACCATCACGACCGGACATAAGGAAGTGATAGCCGAAGCTATTTGAACCACTTCCCCGCCGGCACTCGGATGGTAATCTTGGGCATAGCATTTTATCAAATCACCTCATTCAAATAGCTCATTCATTTGATTCAAATCAAATCACCTCATTCAAATAGCCGTCTGCAATCGCTGTATCTATCGATACAGCGATTGCAGACGGCTTGACGTTTGCGAGGCACTGCACATTAAGAAGTCAACACCAGCAATCAACAGCCAATTAATGCACAACTATATTCTACCCACCTCAAGACTCCGCTCCAATATAGAAGCATCAAGAAATATGGACCAATAGGCTTTCTACAATCACTTCCATTTCAATACCATTGTTTCGTGTTCTGTCTTGTGTTGATGAAATTAATACCCTATTAAATACCACCTCACCCCATCCACCTCACTCAAATGTAGATATAAAATCGGAGATATGTAAGTTCTATTCATATCTCCGATTTTATATCTACATTTGAGTGAGGTGGATGGGGTGAGGTGGTATTTAATAGGGTATTAATTTCATCAACACAAGACAGAACACGAAACAATGGGTATTGAAATGGAAGTGATTGTAGAAAGCCTATTGGTCCATATTTCTTGATGCTTCTATATTGGAGCGGAGTCTTGAGGTGGGTAGAATATAGTTGTGCATTAATTGGCTGTTGATTGCTGGTGTTGTAAGTTCTATTCATCTATTGATACTGGTAATGGCTCAAAAGGGCCACCACTTACGAGCTATTCATGCCCGTGCTACCTTTTGGGTGGCTTCATCTTCATCTTAACACATTCACAAAGGAGACATCTCCCGTCATGCAGGGTGCATTCGCACCTCCACAGATCTCCAGTATCAGCTTTTGATACTGGTAATGGCTCAAAAGGGCCACCACTTATGGGCTATTCATGCCCGTGCCACCTTTTGGGTGGCTTAATCTTCATCAATCAATCAATCAGTTCTATTCAGTTGTGTATGTGTAAAGTCTTTGAAAATGTAATAAGTTTTACGAAACGCGCTCAAATGTCGCGTCAGACTAGAAATAAAAATGAATTTTGGAGAATTGATTTTTGAATTACCTCCAACAGTAAAAAGAAATGTACGAAAGATTGAGAAAATTCGTGTTAGAATTATTAATCTTACTTTTTCGGTCATATTTAATAATATATATATATATATATATATATATATATATATATATATATATATATATATATATATATATATATATATATATATATATATATATATATATATATATATATATATATATATATATATATATACACAAGGAAATCCAGGGTATAGCTGTAACACTATAGACATGTGTATAAATACTCCATAATACCACAATGGTCAGTCACCCACCTTCCACTGTATCTTGCTGCCAATGACACTCAAACACTCTACCAACTCTATATAAGTAGTCACTAAGAACCTCTTCTCTACACCCAGAGGTCCACTACCCTGAACACCTTCAGGTCCTCCTAGAATTATCTACCAGGGTCCTCCACAGCTCTCCTGGCTGCTGCACCATGAAGTCTTCCTTGAAGCACCACTGGTGCCACAGAAGCTTGTGAAACTTCACCTCACTGCTCTTCCTCGCACAGCTTGAGGTCCAACTCCTCACTATGGGGACTGCTCTTCCAGAGTACACTGTTCCTCCAACAGGCTTGGAGTTTCGTCCACTAACTCCCTCTAGTGGGCTCGAAGTTCCCTCAGCACCTCCTTCCCCCGGAGAAACCTGTAACCCATTGACACGCCATAAAGATATTCCTCTACAAACATATAACTAAAATAAACTACACTTAATAAATGTCTCCACTCGACATGCCTCTGATTCCCGCCCGCCGTGAGGTGACTCCCCCACGCCCGGGCGAGTCCATTCTCCACTCTCCCGTGGCGGCCCGCCCGAGACTGCCAGCCACACGGCCTAGTCAGTTACCTCCAAGCTTTCGGTGTTACATGAGCAGTGTCTCTGGCATGAGCAGTGTCTCTGGCATGAGCAGTGTCTCTGGCATGAGCAGTGTCTCTGGCATGAGCAGTGTCTCTGGCATGAGCAGTGTCTCTGGCATGAGCAGTGTCTCTGGCATGAGCAGTGTCTCTGGCATGAGCAGTGTCTCTGGCATGAGCAGTGGCCCTAGTATAAGCAGTGTCCCCAGCATGAGCAGTGACCCTAGTATGAGCAGTCCCTAGCATGAACAGTGACCCTAGTATGAGCAGTGTCCCTAGTATGAGCAGTGTCCCTAGCATGAGCAGTGACCCTAGAATGAGCAGTGTCCCTAGTATGAACAGTGTCCCTAGCATGAACAGTGTCTCTAGTATGAGCAGTGTCCCTGGTATGAGCAGTGTCCCTGGTATGAGCAGTGTCCCTGGTATTGGCAGTGTCCCTAGCATGAAGAGTGTCCCTAGTATGAGCATTGTCCCTAATATGAGCAGTGTCCCTAGTATTGGCAGTGTCCCTAGTATGAGTAGTGTCCCTAGTATGAGCAGTGTCCCAAGTATGAGCAGTGTCCCTAGTTTGAGCAGCATCCCTAGCATGAGCAGTGTCTCTAGTATGAGCAGTGTCCCTAGTATGAGCAGTGTCCCTAGTATGAGCAGTGTCCCTAGCATGAACAGTGTCCCTAGTATGAGCAGTGTCCCTAGTATGAGCAGTGTCCCTAGTATGAACATTGTCCCTGGTATGAGCAGTGTCCCTAGTATGAGCAGTGTCCCTAGTATGAGCAGTGTCCCTAGTATGAGCAGTGTCTCTAGTATGAACATTGTCCCTGGTATGAGCAGTGTCCCTAGTATGAGCAGTGTCCCTAGTATGAGCAGTGTCCCTAGTACGAGCAGTGTCCCTAGTATGAGCAGTGTCCCTAGCATGAACAGTGTCCCTAGTATGAGCAGTGTCCCTAGTATGAGCAGTGTCCCTAGTATGAGCAGTGTCCCTAGTATGAGCAGTGTCCCTGATATTGGCAGTGTCCCTAGTATGAGCAGTGTCCCTAGCATGAACAGTGTCCCTGGTATGAGCAGTGTCCCTGGTATGAGCAGTGTCCCTGTTATTGGCAGTGTCCCTAGCATGAAGAGTGTCCCTAGTATGAGCAGTGTACCTAGTATGAGCAGTGTCCCTAGTATGAGCAGTGTCCCTAGTATGTGCAGTGTCCCTAGTATGAGCAGTGTCCCTGGTATGAGCAGTGTCTCTAGTATGAGCAGTGTCCCTAGTATGAGCAGTGTCCCTAGTATGAACATTGTCCCTGGTATGAGCAGTGTCATTAGTATGAGCAGTGTCTCTAGTATGAGCAGTGTCCCTAGCATGAACAGTGCCCCTAGTATGAGCAGTGTCCCTGGTGTTGGCAGTGTCCCTGGTATGAGCAGTGTCCCTGGTATGAGCAGTATCCCTAGCATGAACAGTGTCCCTAGTATGAGCAGTGTCCCTGGTATGAGCAGTGTCCCTGGTATGAGCAGCATCCATAGCATACGTGTCCCTGGTATGAGCAGTCTCCCTGGCATGAACAGTGTCCCTAGCATGAACAGTGTCCCTAGTATGAGCAGTGTCCTTAGTATGAGCAGTATCCCTAGCATGAACAGTGTCCCTAGTATGAGCAGTGTCCCTGGTATGAGCAGTGTCCTTAGTATGAACAGTGTCCCTAGTATGAGCAGCATCCCTAGCATGAGCAGTGTCCCTATTATTAGAAGTGTCCTTAGTATGATCAGTGTCCCTAGTATGAGCAGTGTCCCCTAGCATGAACAGTGTCCCTAGTGTGAGCAGTGTCCCTGGTATGAGCAGTGTCTCTGGTATGAGCAGTATCCCTAGTATGAGCAGTGTCCCTAGTATGAGCAGTGTCCCTGGTATGAGCAGTGTCCCTGGTATGAGCAGTGTCCCTAGCATGAACAGTGTCCCTAGTATGAGCAGTGTCCCTGGTATGAGCAGTGTCCCTGGTATGAGCAGTGTCTCTAGTATTGTAACACCATTGTAACACCTACTATATAATATGAACCAATAATGTAAGTAACACTACTATTTATCCTGAGTAACACTTCCCATAGGTTGCACTTGGTAACACTGTTATTGAACACTGTAATATGAGCTGACATATGCTGGTTACACCGGAACCAAAGGTACACTGCCAACAAGGAAATGCTACACAGGATTAAATACGCTGCCACCATCTGCCTTTGACCATTGAGACTATATCAAGCAACGAGGCAAGAAACATTGCTTGACTTGGAGAGTACTTTCTATGACTGTCATTAATTAAGGGACGGTTGTCAGCCACTATATCCAAAAGGCTAAGAGGATTCAACAATTGAGACAGACGGGAAATTTAACATGAGTTTATTGAGAACCAAATTATGCTAATCACCACTATAAATCCTACTCTAACACTGGCCAATAGTTAAGAAATTTAGACACGGAACAAAACCCTCAGAGATCACACTTTACCTTAAGACCTCTGTCTCTCCCTCCGGTGGATTCACTGTCACTCCCTGGCTATGCGATGTTCTCACAGATCCACTCTGGACCCTGGTGTCCAGCACTCTGTCTCTAAGTCTCTACAGGAACAATATATACACCCCAAAAGGGGGGGTGGGGGAGATTTGCTGTTGCTACCTACACCAAAGATGCAAGAGGTCGGCCACACGTGCACAAACACTCAAGAATTTTCCATCAAGCTTGTGTGACATTCACCATACACTGTTCAAGAGAGGAGTTATTAATTACGTGTGTGACTGACCTTTGACCTGGCCAAAAGGGGAGATCCATGGATGTTTACACATAAGAATCTGGGGTGTAATTCCATTGCAATGTTTGACAAGAGTATCATGAAATATTACATACTTGAAACTAGCTGACTAAGACTAACCCAGGAATTTTTTAATTAACATATAAGATAATCCGGAGGTCATCTGGGCTGACCTCTTGGAGAAGGCTTCCCTGGGTGAGAACTCTAGGGGAGGGGGGGGGTCATGGGTGTTACAGTATGAGCAGTGTCCCTGGTATTGGCAGTGTCCCCAGCATGAATAGTGTCCCTAGTATGAGCAGTGTCCCTAGTATTGGCAGTGTCCCTAGTATGAGCAGTGTCCCTGGAATGAGCAGTGTCCCTAGTATGAGCAGTATCCCTAGCATGAGCAGTGTCCCTAGTATGAGCAGTATCCCTAGTATGAGCAATGTCCCTAGTATGAGCAGTGTCCCTAGTATAAACAGTGTCCCTAGCATGAGCAGTGTCCCTAGTATAAACAGTGTCCCTAGCATGAGCAGTGTCCCTAGCATGAGCAGTGTCCCTAGTATGAACAGTGTCCCTAGCATGAGCAGTGTCCCTAGTATGAGCAGTGTCCCTAGCATGAGCAGTGTCCCTAGTATGAGCAGTGTCCCTGGTATGAGCAGTGTCCCTGGTATGAGCAGTGTCCCTAGCATGAGCAGTGTCCCTAGCATGAGCAATGTCCCTAGTATGAACAGTGTCCCTAGCATGAGCAGTGTCCCTAGTATGAGCAGTGTCCCTAGCATGAGCAGTGTCCCTAGTATGAGCAGTGTCCCTGGTATGAGCAGTGTCCCTAGTATGAGCAGTGTCCCTGGTATGAGCAGTGTCCCTAGTATGAGCAGTGTCCCTAGTATGAGCAGTGTCCCTATTATGAGCAGTGTCCCTAGTATGAGCAGTGTCCCTAGCATGAGCAGTGTCCCTAGTATGAGCAGTGTCCCTAGTATGAGCAGTGTCCCTAGTATGAGCAGTGTCCCTAGCATGAGCAGTGTCCCTAGTATGAGCAGTGTCCCTAGTATGAGCAGTGTCCCTAGTATGAGCAGTGTCCCTAGCATGAGCAGTGTCCCTAGTATGAGCAGTGTCCCTGGTATGAGCAGTGTGCCTAGTATGAGAAGTGTCCCTAGCATGAGCAGTGTCCCTGGCATGAGCAGTGTCCCTGGTATGAGCAGGGACCCTGGCATGAGCAGGGACACTGGCATGAGCAGTGACCCTGGCATGAGCAGTGACCCTGGCATGAGGAGTGACCCTGGTATGAGCAGGGACCCTGGCATGAGCAGGGACACTGGCATGAGCAGTGACCCTGGCATGAGCAGTGTCCCTAGTATGAACAGTGTCCCTGGCATAAATAGTGTCCCTAGCACGAGCAGGGACCAAGGCATGAGCAGGGACACTGCTCATGCCAGGGACACCATTTTCTGAAGTGTGTTTAGTCCTCATAAACAACATTACCCCTTGGTCGTCTCTCAGTGCCAGCTGCTGCCTGACCTCTGCAATAATACATCAGATTTCATCGACAAAATTCCCCCAACATCAAAATATGATGTATTATACATCACAGCGGCTGGCCAAGACGGCCGGGCTGGGACCTGAGACGCTGGTGGCCAAACCATTTATGTTTGTTAAGATGCAAGAACTTCTTCATAATTCTCACTGTCCTGCTCGCCTCTCTCAGACCTTAATAATTCCTCGTCTGCTGATCAGTCCTATATTCCTGTCTAACTGTTGAAGCTGTTATCGTTGTGCTGTGATACTCTAGTACCACATCACAACGGTACTCCAGCTCTGTGGTACTCCAGAGTACTGGAGTAATGGAGTACTGTACTCCAGTACTCTCTGCGATGAATATGGGTCAGATTCTCTCAAACAAATCGTCTTTCACAGAACATTTATCGCGCTAAGCTGTTTACTTTAATAATAATAACACCATTGCTGCCCTAAGGGCGCGTGGCCGGGGTCATCTGAGCCCCTCAGGGACAGCATCAGAGTCGGTAGACCTTAATATGGGTCAGGGAGCTTCTTATACCTTATCCCAGACACTTGGCTTGCTTCCCTGCTCAGCTGACCCCTCCACGCTCTCTCAGCTCTTAGTAAACATGTAAATGATTTTAACGGCGGCAGAGTTCTCTGCGGAAGCAGAATAAATATGAGCACGATATAGCCTCCAAAGCTGAGGACCAACCCACACCGATACATGATCACATAGAATATTTTCTAGTAGACTGTAATATGTATATATATGGAGGGTTAAGAGTAGGGTGCCAAACAGGCTTGACAGTGAAGCCTGAACACCTACTGGACACAACAGGGGCTGGAGACTAGACACATGTCAATATTAGTAACTTAGCATAAGGGTCCATCACACTCGTGGACTTTACAAAATATAATCTGTGGCACCTGGCATGATCTTATAACAATGGATCATATAAGAAGCTGTTAAGACCTTGCAAATCACATTCAATGATCTTGAAAGATACCAGTGTACTAGTATCATACCAGTGTACTAGTATCATACCTGTGTACTAGTATCATACCTGTGTACTAGTATCATACCTGTGTACTAGTATCATACCTGTGTACTAGTATCATACCAGTGTACTAGTATCATACCTGTGTACTAGTATCATACCTGTGTACTAGTATCATACCAGTGTACTAGTATCATACCTGTGTACTAGTATCATACCAGTGTACTAGTATCATACCAGTGTACTAGTATCATACCAGTGTACTAGTATCATACCAGTGTACTAGTATCATACCAGTGTACTAGTATCATACCAGTGTACTAGTATCATACCAGTGTACTAGTATCATACCAGTGTACTAGTATCATACCAGTGTACTAGTATCATACCAGTGTACTAGTATCATACCAGTGTACTAGTATCATACCAGTGTACTAGTATCATACCTGTGTACTAGTATCATACCAGTGTACTAGTATCATACCAGTGTACTAGTATCATACCTGTGTACTAGTATCATACCTGTGTACTAGTATCATACCAGTGTACTAGTATCATACCTGTGTACTAGTATCATACCTGTGTACTAGTATCATACCAGTGTACTAGTATCATACCAGTGTACTAGTATCATACCTGTGTACTAGTATCTTACCAGTGTACTAGTATCATACCAGTGTACTAGTATCATACCTGTGTACTAGTATCATACCTGTGTACTAGTATCATACCTGTGTACTAGTATCATACCAGTGTACTAGTATCATACCTGTGTACTAGTATCATACCAGTGTACTAGTATCATACCTGTGTACTAGTATCATACCTGTGTACTAGTATCATACCAGTGTACTAGTATCATACCTGTGTACTAGTATCATACCTGTGTACTAGTATCATACCAGTGTACTAGTATCATACCTGTGTACTAGTATCATACCTGTGTACTAGTATCATACCAGTGTACTAGTATCATACCTGTGTACTAGTATCATACCAGTGTACTAGTATCATACCTGTGTACTAGTATCATACCTGTGTACTAGTATCATACCTGTGTACTAGTATCATACCTGTGTACTAGTATCATACCAGTGTACTAGTATCATACCAGTGTACTAGTATCATACCTGTGTACTAGTATCATACCAGTGTACTAGTATCATACCAGTGTACTAGTATCATACCTGTGTACTAGTATCATACCTGTGTACTAGTATCATACCTGTGTACTAGTATCTTACCAGTGTACTAGTATCATACCTGTGTACTAGTATCATACCAGTGTACTAGTATCATACCAGTGTACTAGTATCATACCAGTGTACTAGTATCATACCTGTGTACTAGTATCATACCAGTGTACTAGTATCATACCAGTGTACTAGTATCATACCTGTGTACTAGTATCATACCTGTGTACTAGTATCATACCAGTGTAGTAGTATCATACCTGTGTACTAGTATCATACCTGTGTACTAGTATCATATCTGTGTACTAGTATCATACCTGTGTACTAGTATCATACCAGTGTACTAGTATCATACCAGTGTAGTAGTATCATACTAGTTTGCAACATGTGAGATATGCAGGGATTGCACAACCATGTGCCGGCGTCCTTGCAGGTGAGCCTTGCAAGTTACTAAGCACAATTTTCCAACCAGTGAATGAAGGCAATTAATATTAAATATTAAGAGTGTTGGTATTTGACAAAGTAATTGTTACCTTTGACTCAACACCTTCCACTCTGGTTCCAGCAAGATTACCTAACTTTACCTGTATGTTTAGAGGGATTATTTAAGTTCTGGTTTTATTAATAAAACTTAGTCAGGTAATAATCTAATTTGGAAGGAAAAAGGGAACACAAACTAATGGACATAAAATTCATAAAGCATAAATTTAGATAAATTTATTATTAAAATAAATATATTTATTACTAGCATTACCCAGCCGCGTGTTGCTGTGGCTCAGCAATGCATGTGCTTTGCTGAGCCACAGCAACTTTCCCTGTACCCCAGTCCTCCTCACCGTTCCCCCCTCACCCGTCTCCACGTCATCCCCACCATTCCCCACTCCCTCGTCCGATGTCTTCCCAAACGGTCTGATGTTCCCATCAGAAAATTGGGAACATTAAGTGATCTGATGTTCCCATCACTGAAATTTAAGAAAAGCAGTTAAAAATGAAATGAAAATATGAAAAATAAAAAAATAAACTATACTCACGAAATGAACGGTATGGTAAACAACACAGCTCAATTCCACCTCAATTCACGCAAAATAGTTAAATCAAAATGAAAATAAATCAAAATCTGAAAATTCAATTTATCAATGCAATCAAAAACATTGAAATGGAATTGTAACATATTTAGTATAGCATGTGTGTTGCTCTTACATGCAACAGATGGCGCTGTTTTTCAAGAAAAACATAGTTTTACCTGTCACAGGTGTGGCATCTATACTTATACTTTTTATTAAAAAATAAAATAAATCGAAATCTATGAAAATAAAATTTATCAATGCAATCGAAAACATTGAAATGGAATTCGTGACATATTTAGTATAGCGTGAATGTTGCTATTATGTGCAACGGATGGCGCTGATTTTCAAAAACACATGTTTTTACCTGTCACAGGTGTGGTATCTATATAGTAGGTCTATAAAAAGACACGCCTATTCGAATGCAATGTTGTGTCAAAATTTCAAAGCACTCGGTGAATAACTTTTAGAGATTACAGTGTGCGTTGCTCTTACGTCCAACAGATGACGCTGTAAAAAAAAAAACATGTTTTTTCCTGTCACGGGTGAGACATGTATATAGTAGATATATAAAAAGACGCGCCTATTCGAATGCAACATTGTGTCAAAATTTCAAAGCAATCGGTAAAGAGGCTTCGAAGATTTTCCTCACATGAAAAACATGAAAAACACAGTTTTTCAGAAAAAGCATGTTTTTTTTTTTTACTGTCACAGATGGGACATCATATATATAGAATGTATATAAAAAACCTGGCCGGATGCGAATAGAACGTTGTGTGAAAATTTAAAAGCAATCAGTGAAGAACTTTCGAAGATTAGCGGTTATGCACAAACGAACATTTCCATTTATATAGATTAAAAAAAAATATTAAATAAATTAATAAATTGATTTATTAAGTAAATTAATAAATTTATTTATTAAATAAATTAATAAATTTATTTATTAAATAAATTAAATAAATTTATATTGAAGCCAACAAACTATACTACAGAATAAAGAATTAAACGGTGATTGCGGGCCGCTCCAAGCAACATCCTGGTGGGCCAAGCTCTCACAAGTCAAGTAGAAGAACTCCCAGAACCCCATCAACCAGGTTTCAAGCAGGTTTCAAGCAGGTTTCAAGCAGGTATCGAGCAGGTATTGTGACGGGAAAAGTTGGGGGTCGTGCAGTCTCTGTAATGCCAGTCACAAAATATTAAAAAAAAAGAAAAAAAATTTAACTGCAAAGGTGTCTTCACAGTGAGATAAACTGTAGGATAAAGCAGAGGGAAAAACATTTAAAAATACTTTACTTTGATAAAAAAATGAATTTAAACAAATTACAAAAAATATCCAGGCTTGGCTCTAATACAAAGTGTGCAAAACAAACAAGATGAACAATCAAATATACGTTATGTTAAGGTGCAAAATAAAATATGGTGCGGAATACTGTGAGCTAGTCTGACTAAATTCGTTACCACACCGAGATGTGTTAACAGGTCTACTCAGTTGAGCACACAGGAGTAATCTAACTCATGGTGGGCGAGGTCGCTCTATTTATACAGAATGTCGGCCGGGTAGATGGGGCTGGTGACTTCTTTAACTATTAACCGGCTGTTAAACTGCTTGTTTCGGGGGGCGTGGTCTCCCAGCGACCCAGGTGCGAGGTGGGGTGACGGGCAGTGGTGTAGGTAGACTGGTGGTGTAGGTAGACTGGTGGTGTAGGTAGACTGGTGGGGCAGGT